ATTGCAGTAGTACCCTCCATTGTCTAGAATGTGGAGATCAATTCGAATAGCCCACACAAACTTGCCAGCTAGAACACACAGTGATTCAGTATCCACAGCCTTGCTTTCCCTGTAAGATCACTCTAAACCTTCAATTACCTTTATTTCAATAAGAACAGCACAGTGACAAACCCGAAAGTAAGTTCCACCACATTCCCAAAACCCTATTAAAGCTCACTTTAACCAAGAAGAATCTGAATCATTAGCAAAATAGCAATCATGAAAGAAAATGCACTAGAGAGCAAAGAAACAAAATACATGTTCATTAGGTGACATCTAATTCAATAGAACAGTAACATATTACAGAAGAAGCAAGCTTATAACAACATAAGAAAAACTCACACGTTATAAACCCTACACATTCAAGGAAAAAGGAAAGACTGGGGGATGAAGGAGCAAAGCTGACCAACTTCAGCTTCAAATCAAATCTTTTAAAAGATAACAAAAGCACCTTAGACCACGATCAATTATACGTCCCAACTCCACAGCCAATTCTCCAGGACGGCCTGGCTCAAATGAAGGATCAGCCATTGGAGAAACCTCGGTGAAGATCGAAAGTACCCCTTCCTTAGGTCGGTCTCTGTAAGGCTGAACCAGTTGAGCAGTAACAATGCCCATAACATGAGTCTGGCCTAGCTGCACCTCTGATGAGCCATCCTCTCTGCAAATTCACCATAGCAATTAAACACTCGATTTTACCAACATATCCACCAAACAAGCTACTTACAGTAACCTAAAAGAGGAAATTAAAAAATATATTAATTTATAATTTAATATCATCTGATAATGCAAAACAATTTTTGTTTCAACTGGAAGAACAGCATCAAACGTGATCCTCCGATTACTAAACCAGAAATTGCACAAAGAACAGGAATATAAAGGCATCTCACCTAAATAGGTACAAACATTTACTCGAACCAAGATATCCAATTATTCACATACACATACATTTTCTTACCTTCAGGCAAGCATGCATACACATACAAATACTATTAAGGGATCCTAACCCACACCCATTAAGTTTAGAATTTGTTGTGGCCTCATGTTCAGGTTCAGCTTCTCCACCTATTTGCCCATCAGTTTTAGATTAACATGGTATTAGAGGCTAGGTAATTAGTCACCCTGTTTAATACTCTATTATGTTATTTGTTGTGTGCATTATCCACATCATAGGCTCGTCTACTTCAATTTTAAGTATTAGCCTACTCGTGAGGGGAGTGGGGTTATCCCATGGCAATTAAGTTTAGAGTTAGTTGTGGTCTTATGTTCGGGTTGAGCAATCTCCACGGACATAGGTTTTAGGTTGATTACACAACACAAAAATCATAGACTGCAAGTGCAAACAACCCAAGCTTCGAATTAAGCAATTCTAATACAACAGCGTTAGACAGAGTAATTATAACCTGAAAAAGAAAGAAACCCATTACTGCAAATAGCCAAATACATATAAGTTGGTTTTTACATACGTACATTGAATAATGCTAAACTTGCCTGCCAAACTTGACAACAATCTTACGGTATTCATAGGGCTTTCGTCCATCGATTCGAATTTCAGAAAGCAAAGCAGTTCTGATGAAACTCTTGTCGTTCGCTGTCAACCGCCACGCATTCGCCAATCTACCTTCCATTCTTTCTCAGTTCCACTGCAACAATTGCTCCGCTGTATTCTCTTAGCCATTTTATCAAACAGTTTTTACCTTCTACTTAAGCTAAACTAAGTAATTATAAAATGGGTTTAAAAAAAAATACAAAGCTTGAAACTTACCGCTTTTTATCGTATCCTATTTTCTTTCCTTTTGTTCAATTTATTAGTCTTGAAGGCTTGGATTTTCCATATAAAAGTGACAGCATTCAGAGAGAAATGCTTATAGTGAACGAAGAAGAACAGAGTAAGTGACTAAAACCCTAGCGGTTTTTGTTTTATTTCCTTCCCTGGCTTTTAATATTAATTACTCAAAACTCATTTGTTTTTTTTTTTCTCCCATTTCAAGCTTTATTTCTTTTTCTTTTGCTTTATTATTTGTCCAAAACTTTTTGTCCGTGAATTACGAAATTATAATTTTTCTTAAAAAGCAATATTAGTAATGTGGTGCCTAATTAAACTCTACATTGGGCCAAGCCCAAGTTAA